TGTGCGCTGAGGGCCAGGATGCTGCCATGCTGTGCTCTGGTCTGTCTGGTGGAGGTGAGCCCGAGGCCAGCAGAGTGGAGCGGCCAAGTCTGACTGAAGGACAAGAGGCTGACGGGCAGTCGTCTCTACTGATCGGCCAGACTGAAAGACAAGGATAAGGGCATGAAGGATGGAGAGGTAGAGGAAAGAGGACGGACTCTCAACGGCTGGCTAGACTTTTGATTTTACTTTGAAGTCTTTCAGCTGGTATACGGGCAGGAGACTTTAGACCAATTGTGGAAACTCAGATTCGGAGCAGTGAGCAGGTTTTTACCCTCTTGCAAATCGAGGTGTCACGAGGGTTTACTTTGCTTTTGTGTGTGTGTTGTGTGGGTTTTGAAAAGGCGTGCTACTGTGTTCCCCCAGGTGTCCTATGGGAGGTGTTGGGGTCCCGGGGTTATGTGTGAATCATTTGATATTTGGAGCAAGAGGATTGTTTGTATTCTTTGGCATCAGGTGGCCGTCGGACTCAGGCGAGGATGCTCGATATCCCCTCTCCTCTCCTCTGTTTGTGATATTTATAGACCGTAGCCGACGTATCAAGGTCTGGAGTGATTCCGCTTTACTGACCGTAGGGTAACATCTCTGCTGCTTTAAGGTTGTGTTGTCTTTATGGACCCATCCTCTCAGATAGGGATAGGAATTGGGCTGTATATTGATTATTAAAGATACATTTGCTGTGTTTTTGTTGGCAATGCAAAAGATGACACCACCTTAGGCTAAATATCAAAAGTGATCTTCATGTGCGTTCTGTATGTTCAAAATACTTAAACCATGCAACCCTGAGCTCTGTAAGTGGACTGTTTTCACTATTTTATGACATTTGAAATACTGAACAGTTAATTGTTTAGTGTTGGTCAGGCTATACTCTCTGGTGTTGGCTCTGAAAGCATCCTTACGTTTTTCACGGTCACTTTGACACCTTCCCAGTTGATATTCTTTGATAACTGATTACCTTTTCTATCGAGAAAAGCCTTTAGTGCCCTTCTTTGCTCTTCTTTCGATGAAAAAATACCCTCCAGTTCCGATACAACTAATGCTAGCAGCGTCTATGAACGCTTCGCTTTTACATTGAGGTGCAGAAACAGAGCGCTCAAAAAAAGTGAGTCTTGATCCACCGTTTGTGTTATCTTCTCTTTGGCTTGTGGATCTGTGGCCATGGACGCTCTGATGAGAAGATTCCTGTTGTTTAGTAGGCCAGTAGTCTGGTTCTTAGCAGGTCGCAGTGGGTGGGAATGAAGTCATGTTGGAGCGGAGGGCACTGGCCTGGACACGACAAGCTGTTATATCCAGTCTAGCCAAGCTTTTCAACACATTGTGTGTACGTGGAGGGGGGTGTTCTTGTAGGTGTGAGTGAGAGAACATGTTGTTTTCAGCCCTGGATGTGTGACAGTAAGAATGTATGTCCTGCGTTTTAGGGTGGATGTCTTTCTTAATTAACCAAATTGTGCTAACACACATCTTCAGGAGACAGGGAGGAAGATGGAGAGGGAGGAAGGAGGTGTGAGAGAAGATGGGAGGCGGTTTAATGATGGAAGAGAAGGGAGATATTTTCATGTGGTGGGAGGAGGTGAACTGATAAAGGCCGATGGACTGAGAGACAAGTAGAGTTTACAGACATAATGGATTAGATGCAACTTTAATGATCCCAGTGGGTAAATTTAGCTTCTGCAACAGTGAGTAGTAACAGGATACACCAAGAATGAATGGGCTGTCAGTCAGAGTAGAGAAAAATGAGTTTACATTGTACAGAAAACACCAACCATAGATGCATAATGGCAACAGGAGCAACTTTTTGTCATCTTTCCCAGTCTCATTTTGTTTAAGCAAGCGCGTCTGTGTCCATTTAACATGATGCATTTAACGACCGAAATGCATGATTGGCTATAATGACTTGGCATGCCTCAATAGATGTCGCTCAACGATAAATTAATACATCAGATTACGTAATGCGTGTCAGTGTTTGAAGTTGTGATTTAAGTTATTCTGGTCAGCAACCTTTACATGAATAATATCAGATGTGCTTTCACCGTTGTATAGTGCCAGTTGACTAAATTAAAGGCCCTTGCTTTACCCACACAGGTTGGTTGATTAGGTTGCATTCAGACAAACAACAGTCAGCCCCCTCGTTTGTTAGCTTGAGGCTGCATTGACCCTTTTTTAACACTAAACATTCATCGAAAGTTAGCGCAGATTCCAGCAGAATTTCTAGAAAATTGGCGAAAGGAAATGCAAATGTGTTCTTTTCAATACGCTACTGCTATGCAAATATTAGGAGTTGGTTCATCAAGATATACAGCTGGTGGCCAGCTGAATTCTCCAGTCGGATGCCATTAATCTGTTGCAGAAGAAGAAAGTGCAACAAGAGTCAAACCTCAAATGGTGGAGAACAATGTAGAAAGCATGATGGAAATGTGTATTCATTTGAGGAAGCTTACAGTCTCCTCATCGCTCCACGCAGATCTGATGTTTCCGTCTGACTCTCTTCCTTCTTAATTGTTGATTAAGTCACATGCCTCCTGTACGTCTGTTTCTATTGAAGTAATTACACCAAATTATACACTTTCCTTTACAATATTTCAAGATTTTTATTTATATTTTCTCCATTTCCATTCAGTTTTTTTTATGCACAAATTTAAAATGTGCATAAAAACAGGCACAGATGTAATCAATAACGTCAATTTAGATTAGCCAGTGTGCCAGTGAAGGCCGTAGGGTCATCTGTCAAACGAGTTTAACCTGGCTCAGCTTTATTTATTTTTTATTTTTTTTGCATAGCGTGATGTCTTCCGGCAAAATGCCGCTGTGGCCAATCGGATACCTAGAAAGTGCACATTCCTTTGTAACGTGACCGCCATATTTCAACTGTTTACCTTTCATAGATAAAGTGATTGCTGCCATGCTAACTTTCCATAGTTGTACAATCCTCCCTCATAATATTACACACTGCTGTTTATTGTTTTGGCATCTGAATAATCCTTCAGACTCACAGATCTGCTTTTTAACTTTACTAGATTTTATTGTCACACAGGTACTTGAAGGAGCAAACCCCCACCAACACAACATTTTACTGCTGTTAAGGTGGGGACAAATTACACATTTATCTTTTTTATTAGTACATGGAGTTTGGTAACCTCCTGTAATTCCCAGCACGGCTCTGCCCAACTTCATTATGAGCTAACGCCTGTGGGGTGTGCAGGCCTTTTAATAGTAGAGGTACTAGTATACTCTCAGTTGGTAATCAATATACATTTGTTTTGGCAGGTAATTGTAGCATACCTTATAGCCCAGATGTAATTTCTGACCAGGATCAGATGAATGGTGTTTGCAACATCACGGATGAGATATGGGCAAACAAAGAGAGGCAGTGACAAATGAGACCATTAACTGCCAAAGGGGAGAAAGGAATTATAGAATGACCAATCCAAAGTCTTCTGAACCTAATATCCTTCTGGGAGACTACTAACACAAACACAGAGCTGTTGACTTCTTCCTCTGTCCCCCACTGCTCCTCTCCTCTCTCTCCCTCTCTTCCTTCCTCTCGTCCTCCCATTGCCTCACTCCCTGTCCTCTCTCTGGATGCGGTCACAGCTGAATCCACCCAGCCAGCTGTTTGGCAGTTGAGGCTCTTCTTGGATTCAGACACCCATCACACCTGTACGCCTGTCAGACCAAAGCGGTGACCCGGGATAAACCTGTTTTCCGTCAGTGTAAATGGGTCAACACGTGTTATATGACCTGGGTTTGTGACCCTCCTCCCACTCGGGGGTTATTGTTGGTGTGATACTGCTTTTCTTTGGTATAAAAAGGGGGAAAAGTATTTTTTTCTCTTCTAGAAACAGGGGATGAGCCAAGAGTCTGGCCTATTCTTAAATATTTGACTTGTGGCAGAGATCTGTTGCACGTATTTTTAACTTTTGGTTCATTGTGTTTCCTTTATAACAGTCATAAAGATAAATTAGCATCATTATTTATAATGTTTTAACTATTGTTGCTACATCAGTGTTTTTATATAATGTCTTTCCAGGAAGTAAAAACTGAATCACCAGAGGCAGAAACCGTTCCAGACGTCTCAGAGCCGTGACTTGTTTAGATGCAGGACTTTGGTCAGAGCTGCAGCTGCCTTCACTGTTTTCTGTCTTCCAGGAGTCAGTCTGTCTGTCAACTGTTTATTAGTCAGTTACTTTATTAGCCAGCGGATAAAAAAATGCAGGTTTTAAGACACGTGGAAAATTGGAAGATGTTGGGAATTTTTCTGGTGAATTTTTCCTAGATCTCCAACCCAGTCATTACACTAAGCCTCTGCTGGATAGCTGGCTACTGTCAATCTAAGGTCTGCTTGTGCTCACAGACACTAGACTTTATACTGATAGCATTTTCTTTTGTTAGCCCTGTTTATTAACTGCGACCCCCAGTAGTTTGAAACATATTTAAGATAATGTACAGCACATAAGAAAAAGGCTTTATGGTTCACTGTTGTACTTAGTCTGTGTATACCTTTAAAGGTCCAGGGTGTAGGATTTAGTTGCAGCTAGTGTCGTAGTTAAAGATAACAACGTCTTTGCCTCACCCCCCCCCCCCCCCCCC